TCATCGGGATGTGCATCGCCGACGACCGACGTCGCGAGGCGCGCCCTTACGCGGCCATCCGTGGGATCCTGGCGAGTCCTCCTCGCGAGGTGCAACCGCGGGAGTCGTCCGGAGTCACCGTGAGGACGACGCGCAGCGACGTAATCGCGCACACATCAGCCGCTTTACAGCGCGCGCATCGGCTGCGGGCGAGGGTGTGGGTGGGTGGTGGCGGCGGCGGCGGCAGCAGCAGCGGCGGCTGGTTACGGCGGAGGGGTGTGCGGTGAAAGGCAGAAGGCAGACGGGCGGCAGACACCCTGTGCTTATCCCCACCTCGCGCCACCTCGGTCCGTGACTCACCAAACCGTTAAAGGATGAAGCCGCCCTGCTTTCACTCTACTACGCGCACACACGCGCACGCACACAGAAGCGCGCAGGTGCGCATGTACAGTGCCCCGTGCGTGTGTGGAGAAAAGGACGAGAGAGAGAGAGAGAGAGAGAGAATGGTGCTTTCGAGTAAACGAGCGTTGAACGCCGTGCGTACACGTGTCTGTGTGCACCCGTATGTACAGGGTGGCTGCGAAACGCGCGGTAAACTCGGTTCGCCGATTTTCCGAGAGCGATTATGCGCTCGGTGGGCTTCCTTCTTTGTAATTCGAGCGTGTGTGTGTAGGTGTGTATGAAAATATTAGGAGGTAATAATCTTGATCAGTCATTCTTCTCGGAACATTCAGTGCTGTTCGGGTCTTATATTTGAGGTCATCTTGAATTTATCTTCAGACGTTGCGCGAATTATTTCATTGGCTGCAAAGCATCTGAAGATGAATTTGTTAAATACCGAATCTATCTGGGAATACCGGCTATTGAGATGATTAAAACGCGTTCTCTGCGATTTCTCGATCTGGGAAAGAAGAGCTTTCGGGGTGTGACTTAGAAGGTGAGAGGGATATTAAGTGTATTTAGTGACGTTCAATTTCGAAACTCACTGTTTTGAATCTGTAATTAAGGGTTGCGTAGGAAAGATACTTGTTAGACGTTCGTCGGTAGACACATCGTTAAAATTGAAGCCGTGAACTTCGGGAACCACCCTGTACACGAAGTCCGCCGTGTACTTTTCTAGCACAGAGCTAGACGGGAAAAGGGCCAAAACGAGCGGAGTCTGGAACGCCTGGAAAAATCTACCCTGTTCATGCGGTTGTGACATTTTTATCGCAAACACGCCGGAAATTAACAGTTACATACGTTGCGCGCATACGTTGCATGAGCCACGTGTTCCTTTTGTCGGAGATAACATCTATTTAAACGAAAACCTTCGCAATTTTATCCTATCCGCGATTTATCAGAGTCGTAGAGATGCCTGTTCTCCTGTTCTCGATTTTATTCCCGCGGTGCCGCAAACTTGTGACTCGCGATCTGAGATAAACGCGCGATTGACGGGATAATCGACGCGAAGACGTCGCGCGGGCCATTAAATCAAAGCCCGATATTGGTTTTTTCATTTTCTATCTTAATTAAATGTACACGTGCATCGTTGCAGGGCACACGCTGAACGGCCAGCCGCTACTGGAATTCCCGATGTCGAGCGGCGGACCGGCACTGGAACCCCTGAGAATCAAAAGAGCCACCCTCTGGGCGAGAGTGGAACTCAAGCACGCCCATCACTATCATCGTCACAGCCAGATCAACCAAAGGAACATCACCCTCTGGGTGTTCAGAGTGTACTGCGGTAACACGACGCATCTTCGGGGCAAGGTAATCCCACCAGTGATCGATAATTCCGCGCGAGTTTTCGATAGTAGCGCTCGCATTGTCTCGCACTTTATCGGCGACACTTAAACCCGCGCTAATTCACCTCAGTCACGACAAATGGTGCAATAAGAAATCATAAAGGCGCGGTTTTTGCCGAAGTTTGTAAACTCGCGATCCTTATGAATTAATCGCGCAATTGAATTAGATTTCCGTAGAAAGAGCGGATGGAATTATTTTACCGAAAATATAATGAAATTTTCTATTGAAATGCACTCGAAATTCTCCCTCAATTGGCTCCGTTTCATTGTTATTTCACCGAGATTTTCTGTAAAATTCTGTAAATTTCATGATATTTAGTATTTCAAAAAATTTGTCGTTACTTTTTAATAGTATAATCTAACTTTCCTTGTATTTCACAGTATTACATTAAACTTTACAAGAGAAATTATGATTCATTTTAAAATGTAATCGGCAGTTTTTCAATAACTTTCATTTCACTTTTCATCGATTTCATAGGTACTTTCAGCAAAATATTTCCATCGGGATATTATTTTAAAAAATTAATCACTTCTCTAATCATGTAATTTTTCTTCAACCTCAACGAGCGAAGTAAAATTTAAAAGCAACGCGTAGTGTCCGTAAATAAAGAAAACATCAATAAAATGAAGAAGGAAGGATATCACGAGAGACACATAGCGTCTAGTTCTGATCAGTTCCTGGCGCTTCGGGAGAATCCTCACCAAGACGAGTGATTCGATCGTCGGTCGATTCTGTTACGCAGGAGCTCGGGCAACACCTGGAAATGGTGACATCTCTCGTGGTGAACGTCGGCCAGCTCGGCTGGCAGAAATTCGACGTGACGAGGGTCGTGAGCAGTTGGTACACGACGAGTTACTCGAAGGATAAGCTGACGTTGCTCGTCGACTGCAGCGGGTGCGGCTCGCACGTCCACGTATCGACCTTCGACGAGCACACGCGGCACATGATCGAGTCGTCCTTAAATCCGAAAGGTAATCCTCCAGACCTCCCCGAAAGGCTCTACGTACACATGTTGAGGGGAGAGGGGGGTCTAATCGACGTATATTCGCTTAATTGATTAATGCGCTCGCCAGTTCGCCAACTTGTGTCTCATAACTGAGATCAGTGATTAATCCGAGACTCTTTAGGCTGCATTACAATTATTGACGGAATCGATCAAATACACGGGATTATGTTTTAATAACAATTTCGATCGATCGGATTGATGAAAAATATCTCGGTTGCAAATTCAGTCGGCTGCGTCGTCAATAACAATTATAATGGTCCGACGTGGACCGGTCGAACGAGTAGAACTCCACGAGTTTTCACGTCTCATCGCTCGCGAGAAATTCGATGAATTCCAATTTCGTTGAAATGATCCGTTGCGATGCCTTGCAACCCTCCTTCGAAGTATACAGGAACAAACTTCGTTTTAGGCGACCACGACCCGGACAGGCCGTTTCTGGTTGTGCGTACAGATCCGGCGGCTGCGAAGCGCGTGAGGAGGCGGGCGATCGAGTGCAACGGCGCGATCAAGGGTCAGTGCTGCAAGCAGAGGTTCTACGTGAGCTTCTCTCAGCTGGGGTGGGACGACTGGATAATCGCTCCTCAAGGGTAAATCAGTCGCACAATTTAATTATAATTATTTAAAGATGTATCGCCCGTATATAATGCCGTATATTCAGTGACGCGTCTCATCAATTTAGTATTTATTCGAGCAAAATTGCGTGGTAATCGCCGATTCTCTTCTCTCTCGGCAGATACTACGCCAATTACTGCAGAGGAGACTGCGCGGCCGGTCACAGGACGCCGGACACGTTCCTCAACTATTACACCCACGTGATCGAGGAGTACCGGAAGATGGACCGGCTGGCCGGTATGCAACCATGCTGCGCGCCCCTCAAGTTCTCGCCCATGTCCCTCATCTATTACGGCCCCGACTCGAACATCATCAAGAGGGACCTGCCGAAGATGGTGGTGGACGAGTGCGGCTGCCCCTAGGCGCGCCGCCAGTTGGACGACGTGAAGGACGATCGGAGAGCGAAAATGCGCGACCAAGTGGAAGTAATCGCGAAGAAGGCTTGCCGAAAGAGAGTGTGAGAGAGAGAAAGAGTGTGTGTGTGTGTGTGTGAAAGAGAGAGAGAGAGACCGACGCGGCCGTGTCGGCCCGGCGAATCGGTCCAGAAACCGTCCGAATTCCGCGACCCGGTTCGTCTCGGCGCGACGAACGGAAAGCGCGCCGGAAACCGATCGAACATGGGGTGGTTGGTACCTGCCCCGAGGACGGCGGCCGCCCGAGAGTGGACCGTCCGGTGATCGGTATAATTCCGCTAAAACAAATTACTCGCCGCGCCGACGCGATGCGTTCGCGCATAGTGCAACCCGCGCGGCCGGTGATAGTCCCCCCCGATCGCGGGAGAGAAATTAGGATCGGATTAGACTGTCGAATTGGCCTTTCTAAGGTAGAACAGTCGAGTACGTAGAGTAGAGAGAAATAAAGAGAGAGACCAGATTTAGCTTGGTCGTAATTTGTAAAAAGAGGTTACAGAGAAGGATATGGCGTCTCAATTTCAAAGCGTCGTTTACGATATATATATATATATATATATATATATATATATATGTGTGTGTGTGTGTGTGTGTGTGTGTATATATATATATATATATATATTTATCTATATCCGGTTTATTTGTACGCGACCGTAAGGGAAAAAGGCGAACGAAGTCGATATTCTTACCCAGAGCTTAGTCTTTCTTTATTAGTTGTGTGACGAGAGGAGGAGAGAAAGGAAGAAAGAGAGAAAGAGACAGAGAGAGAGAGAGAGAGAAAAAGAGAGAGAGAGAGAGAGAAATTGTGACAGATGAATGAATGAACGAGAATAAGGGAGAGAGAGAAAGAGATAGAGAGAAAGAGCTTAACGATTGAAAGTAAAAGACGTGACTTTTACGATTGTAACGTGTATATAATATATATTATATAGATATTATATATATATATATATATACATACTCGGACGCGCATATAAATACACACGACACGTGATTCAACCGAAGTATAATAATAAAAATATTCGCGCACGGGCGCGTTAAAGGTTTAAGTATAAAAACGATAAAAAACTCAATCTAATTGCCTTGTTTTTTATGCAGAACTTATGAAAGTATCGAAAATAACGGTTTAAAAAGTAATAAAAATGCTATTTAAAGAATCTAAAGTATACATATATAAATATATTATATAAATATAATACACACATACGCACGCACGCATGCACGCACAAACACACACACACACACATACACGAGACAGATGGCAGACACAAACCGTATCTACACTGACATACTTACATTTCACACAGATACGTGTAAGTTCGTTACGTCAAGGCCGAGAATTTTGGGAACGATACAGGCGGGATTGAAAATACCCGAGAGTTCAAAAAAGGCTAGAGAAAAAATTATTATTATTGCTACTACTATTATTATTATTATTATCGATTGAACTTAAGCATAAAATTGGCCACTAAGACTACAATTGGGGTGTTGCGAGCGTGCGTATATTTCGAGGATTTTTACAAACGAACACCGATATATGTATATAAATATAAATATAAATATATATATATATATATATATATATATATATATTACGGTACACACACGATTATAAAAAATAAAGAGGCAAAGCCACACACACTCTCATACATTGGATCTTTATCGTAACGTTAAGGGCATTCCGCGGTTTCCTTAATTCAGATAGAAAAGAAAATAAAGGAGATTGCACGTTAACGCTGATGCAACTCGCCAAAGTCCGTCGTCGAAACGTGCGAATCGCAGGACGTTTCTAAGACGACGACGTTATTCGAAGTAAACGGATTGACTACTAGAAGAGCAGACGCGCGAGAGTGTGCGAAGCATCACGATCAGCGAAATAACGAACAATAATGCGACAATAAAACGAGAGACGGAGGATCTGAGGAAAAATTTCAAGAGAAAGTGAAAAAAAAACAGAAGAAGAAGAAGAAGAGGAGATAACGCCTCTCGATCTCGCGGGGGGTGATAATTTTCGGACGGTAGCGCGCATTCTTTCCCCAAGAAAGCTCGTTAATTGCTAATCTCGACGAAATACGTCCGGGTCGCAGTCTATTGTTCCGAAGCGACGCGCGTGTGATTTTTAAGCGAAAGAGAAGAAGAAGAAGGAGAAGAAGGTAAAACTCGAGGAAGATATAAATGAAATTTTTGTGGGACACAGTCACGTTCGACAGTTTGACCCACGCAGCCTTACTGGGCCTTATTAAGGTATCGTCGTACTATTACTAAATTATTATCAAAGTAACGATAAAGCTTAAGTAACGGTAATCAAATAGCGAAGAGAGGATAACGGCAGGAGAATGGGCAAAAGAGAAGGAGAGATCGTGTTTGTTCGATCCACCCGGAATGAAGAGTGAGACACGATGGATGAAGAACGGAGCGTGGTTAACGGGTCGTGGGGAAAATCGATGACACACGGTGACGGGAAAGGATACACACAGGGGTGCGATGATCCGCCCGCGAATGAATTCGAAGCTAGAAAACTAGAATCAAGTTGCCGAATTGTCCATTTCTTCGGTGTGATTTTGACTGATTTTTTCGTTTTTCTCTTCGAAGAGCGCGAATGTGCATGCATGCGTCACGAGCATGCGAGAGAAAATGCCGGAGAAAGTGAGAGGGAGTGAAAGAAAGAGTGAGAGGAAAAGAGAGAGAGAGAGAGAGAGGGAGAGAGTGAGCGAGCGAAAGAGAGAGAGGGAGAGAAAGGAAATTAATAAATATAATTAGACATTCCGCCATTCAGCTAGAAAAGAAAGAAAAAAAGAAGAGAACTAATTGCGTCCACAATACAGTTTACGAATGACTTTAAGCAAGCATATTTCTAGCACAATTAAGGAACGTTTCTTCGAATTCCTCTACTCTTCTTCATCCTCTAATATTACTACTACTACTTCTTTTTTCTACATAATTCCTTTGAAGGAGAAGCCACAAGTGCGTACAAGTCTCGATAAAAAAAGAACGCCTTCAACAAGCTCAAGGAGTGTGTTTACGACTACTACCGACTTTAATGTATAAAAAGGAAAAAAAGATAATAACGCGACGGTGATGATGGTGATGATAATAAAAATAATAATAACGGTAACACACAACAATAATATTAATAATAACGATAATAATAATGATAACAGTAATAATAATAATGATGATGATACTAATGATAATATTGATAATAAAGGCGATGATAATATTATTAATAATAACGGCAACAACAATGATAATAATAATAACAATAATATTAATATTATTAATGATTATAACAATAATATAATATTACTACAACTATTACCGATAATAATAACAACAACAAGAACAAAAACAGCAAGAACAACCCCCCCTCCCCAATATATGTAACAGTAATAATGATAAAACTTATTACTTAATTAATTATTTAAATACATAGTATAATTGAAAATTAATAATAATAAGAACAATAACATTAATATTATTAATTACAATATAATGAAATAATAATCATAATATATTGATATAGTCACGATAATAATATATGAAAGATACTAATGATATTCATAATGAAAAAGAAAAAGGAATAATGATTAAATGAGACACGACGGGAGGTAAAATAATAATTAATTGAAGACGCGAAAGAACGGAGAGCAGGCATCAAGGCTGAGCCGATGTATGTCGAAAGTCTACCCTCCTTAATTTAAGGACGAACTCCGAAGGAAGTGAGAGAGGTATTCGACGCTTTGAGTCACTTTGATTGTTTGAGACGCTGATCTCGTCGTCGACCGATCCGCTGGGCGACGAGACGTCACCTTCTCGACCTGTGTATAACGTTAAAAAGCGAGAAAGCAAGCCAAGCCAAGCAAGCAAGAAAGAAAGAAAAAAAAGATTCATAATTCCTCTCGTATTATCGTTCCTGACTTATATAGATCGCTTACATGTTACCGCGCGAGAAATATAAACGAAAAAAAAAGTCACTATCTCTCAGTATTCGAATAGACTCTAACTAACTAATTAACGAGAAGAAGAAGAAGAAGAAGAAGAAAAAGAAGAAGAAAAAACGGAAAAAAACGTCTTTTTTATCTCTCTCTTCCAGTAATTATCCGCTAACTTGGAAGGTGCGATGGTCGCCGCTCTGCGATGCGTGCGACGCGGTAAACACACACGACGCGATGATTTGACTCTATTGCACTGACTTCCGCGGGAAATCCGGCGACCGGTACGAGAAGGGAAGGGATTTCGAGGTTTCGAGCTTCGAGAAGATGCGACTTTGTGCCATTGCGTTCGCTCGGCGGCAAACCGGGCAGATTTTTCGATCTTTGGACTTGGATTGGGGTGGGGGAGGGACCAACCGATCGGCTCCGGAAATTCCGATCCGACCGCGTGCGTCGCGCGTTGTTACGGAGTGTTTCGGACGATTGACCCCCTCCGTCGCAAATCGAATCGCGCTCGAGAAATGACGATAGGNGGGGGGGGGGGGGAGAAAATATAGGAAAAAACGTCTCGACACGAAGTGTTTATACGAGCGGGATAACGATGAGATAACGCGCATCCGCGAGATAAATGATCAATTCGAGCAAGTGCCCTTGCACTTAATTGCCTTTTAGCGAATTCTCGTCCCGACGCGTCTTTCGCGCGTCGGCTCGTGCGTTTTTGCGTTTTAGCGGATAGTAATAGCGACGACTTTCGGAGCGAAGACGATGAAGAGAAAAAAAAGTGGAAGGAGAGGGAAGTGAAGTGGAAAAAAAGAGAAAGAAGGGAAGAAACGTACTGATATACCGAGCAGCGCACAGGCGTTCTTAGCGTACACGCATAAAAATGTTCATCTAACGATACAATTTCGTAGTGCAGGTGAAAGTGCCTTATGACGGTCCTCCACGAACGCGAAGCAACGAGTTACGCGATTTTTCTCCGGCCGCCGACCAACGAGCAAATTGTTTGTCGTTGCGCGAGGGGATCGTCCGGAACCTGCGCGAGATACCTGCCCGCGACTAACAGCAACAGACACACACACGACTGTTGCGCGCGCGCCCGCGAATCTGATCGGTTTCCGCAGCTGATCGGTTTCCAGAGAGAAGTAAGAAAAAAAAGTAAGAAAAGCAATTCGCGTGATATTCAGAGGCGACTCTGAAGAACGAGATAGTGAGAGCCGATGGAAAACTACGTGTGATGACGTGTGTGTGAAAGCTCGCGAATGCGCGTGTGTGTGTGTGTGTGTATGTATGTATGGGGCGTGAAAAACAGAGCGAGTGGGAACGAGAGAGAGAGAGAGAGAGAGAGAGAGAGAGAGAGAGAGAGAGAGGAAAGCGATGGTGAGGGAAAGTGTGCGGAGGGAGGAGAAGGAGTGCGAGAAAAGTTTGTTGCGTCGTGCAATATGTATCTGAAGTGCAATTGAAAATTATACAATGTAGCGTAACAATTACTCGAAGTAATATGGATTACCGGTATGATAATTTGCAGTGGAACTTAAATTCGTCATTGTAACGCATAAGTTCGCGGGATAACTTGAAATTAGGAAGTCCAAGGGACTGCGAAGCACGTCGGCAATTTGTATGAGAGAGGCGCGCGATGCGCGTACCGCGAGCAATGTTATTGCGGAGACCGATTTCCGAGAGTAAATTTTTACTTGCCCCGCAAGAAAAATTTCCAATAAGATTGTCGCGCTCCGCGACTATGACGTCTAGTACTTTAGTTTCCGCTGGATTTGTGATTAAAAAAAAAAGATAAAAAGAGTAAAGAAAAGAAGTCGAATAAATATATGTAAATCGGATTGGGGGTGATTCTCTCTCTCTGAAGACCGTGATATGCAAGATATTTAATTGTATATAATTTAAGCTTATGAGAGAAGAGAGATAGCGACAAGGGGGAGGGGAAAGGGAGCGTGCGAGAGTAAGGGGGAGCAAGAGAATAGGGGGAGAAGTCTAGTGAGACAAATATTCCGACCGGGAGAAACACGAGTCGAAAAAACGGGTGATACCGAAAAAAGATTAAAAAAAAAAAGGAAGGCAAAAAATCATGTTCTCTCATCTTCTCGAGTTCTTAGTTTCGGCACGGCGTCAGCCGACGAGAAAAAAGAAAACAGAAAACGATTAAAAAGAGGAAACACAAACGAAGACAGAAATGTGTTACGGTGATTTTTTCGCGTCCGGCGAGGATTCCTTCTTTCTTCCCGTCGCATTTGCTGCGGGGTCAACGCGTTCGTTGCGAGATATTAATTATATATTTCAAAGATGGATGCAATTCCGAAATAAAAACCCCTTAAATATGTCAGATGGCCGGAGTCATTATTCCTTTCCCCGAATAGAAGAGAAAAGAAGAAGAAGAAGGGGGACCGATTTTTATTTCCCATTCTTCCTTCTCCGTGCAGTTAAAGACGAAATGAAAAACGTACTGGAGATATATAATTTAATCGTGCGGCCCGAGAAAATCCGGAAAGTGCGTCCGGACACGCCTGTACGTAGATTCAGTGTGTTAAAGTGAAGGGAAACTCTCTCGAAATTCATTCTTTCTTACAGTGCGATCAAGTCGCATCTTACACGCACGTCGTCGACGTTTTACACTTATTCGCTTACAGAATACATATACATAGAATATATACACTCTCTATTGAGAGGGGGAGAGAGATACATGCCGCGCACAGCGACGTCTCTCTCTCTCTCTCTCTCTGTACAAACTTTTCGCTCTTTTTTTAACTTTAATAATATTATTAGAAAAAAAAAGAAGAAAAATCGCGTCTTCGGCGATCCCTCTCAGCGATTTTTCACACAGGGAAGATCGAGCCTTTTCCTCTTGGCGTTCGTCTTCGACGTCAGAGCGGGCAAGACGCAGCCCTTCGCGTTCGGAATTAAGAGCCCCTTGTGCTCCAAGCGTCGAATGTACGTAGTGTTCGGTATCACCGAGACCGGTCCGCAGTAACGCGCGTCGCGCGGCCGATTGATCTGCGGCGGCGACGGCCGATCAACTCTATCCCCCTGCGACTCCTCGTTCTCCGCAGCCTCCGCGGGCTCCGCGGTATTGTTCGTCGACCTCTTCTCTTTGATCAGCGTCATCTGCCACCTGGAGACGCCACAAGTACAAATTAATCGCGATTGCCGGAGAAAACGGGTCTACTCGGCAAGCAACGAAGCACTCAGAATCGAAAGTTCGCGAAGAATGGTGGGAGCAAAAAGGTAAATTTCTTACCACGATTTCTTTCACTTTTTTTCCTTCTCAACTCGAGAAACAATTTCTTATATGTTATTATATATAGAATATGTCCGGATAAAAAAATATATAATTATATATAATTTTAATTGTATATTTATATTTATATATTTTTATATATAGACATATTTTACATGTGGCATTTTATATATATCATTTTAGATACATTTATATATGATTATACATGAATTTGTTCTCTTTTTTGTAAATTTTTCCCTTCTCCTTCTCTTCTTATTTATTTTCTTATCTTGATTATATCAAATTGTCGTACGGATGAATTCGTCAACTGGACTAACCTCCCGATGCTGCTGCGATAGATTCTGGAGGACGTTTCCGTCCTCTTGGTCGCTAGCAGATTCATCGCGGATTCTTTCGCGATTAACCGTCGCAGCTCGTCGAGGAACTTGTCGGCGAAGCCGTCCTGCGAGAACAACGGGTGCTGCAGCAGCGCGAAGCACCTGGGCCTGAGGTCGGGATTTGTACGAAGACATTGCGCCAGGAAGTCGACCGTCACCGAGCTCCACGTGGGGAAGAGACTTCGCAGAGACGCCATTCCGGATCGCGGAGCACCCGACAGCTCGTCGGGATTTGTATGCCGAATCACGCGGCCGCTGCCGTTGCCTTTCAATGATGAATGATTCTTGCCGCACGGGGGACCTATTTTCGACGGAATCGTCAAAAAAAATCGATCGTTATGATTGTACGGACAGAGTTCCGAGCAGCGCTTATTATTAAGCTTTAATAGCAAAGCTCAACAAAAAATGATTTTTTTTCCAACATCCGAACGGGACTAATTATTTCGGACAATTTTTTGGACGATGAATTACAATATAATCTGGTTTCCAAATTGCCCCATCACGCCACAATTTTGAGAAATTTGCAATTGAATTTGCAAAAAGGGCTATTTTCACTATTTTGTCATTTGCGTCCAAGAAATTATGGGAAATCACTAATCTCATCCTAATATATTTTTTTTAGCTCGTATGTAATTTTAGTTTCAACCGCACAAATCAATTTCAATTTAATTTAAAGATAATTTATATTATGCCAATCGATTAATATATAAAAATGAAATGAAAGTTGCCCGACCGATCCATCCGGTTCTCAACTCACCGAACATCTTCGTGATGCGGTACAGCTGGTCGACGTCGCTCTCGCCGGGGAAGAGCGGCTGGCCGGTCATCATCTCGGCGTAAAGACACCCTGCCGCCCAAACGTCGATCGCTCTACCGTATCGGGAATCCCCGATGAGGAGTTCGGGTGCTCGATACCACCGGGTCGCCACGTAATCGGTGCAGGACTCGTTGGGTCCTGTGACGTAACGGGCGAAGCCGAAGTCGCAGAGCTTGATCACGCCGTTCGGCGACACCAGCACGTTCTCGGGTTTTATGTCGCGATGCATGATCTGCGAACGCGGAAACATACCGAGGAAGCCAAACAAGGAGAACCGTTTAAACCAAGGAGCATTTAAAGTGGGCGGGATCGATGGAACGAATTTTTATGCTATTTAGACACGCAAAAAATGACTGGGGAGGAAAACCCTGAGAAATGCCGGGTAACATAGCGTCTCCGCGTGTATTTTGTATGGCGTGTCGAAGAAAAATTCTTCCATTGATAATCCCAGCAGAAAGTCTAACCAGAAATGGTAGTTTTGGAAATATATTCAGATAGAAGAATTATTTTGATTGTTACTAATGATAACGATAATGTCGACACAAAAGTTAAGACAACAAGAGCCAGTTGTCATTAAGTTACAATGTAAGCAAACAACAACTGCATTCGGTTCCTGTCCTAACTTTCATTGTCATTATCAGTTTTAATTAAAGAGCTTCACATTCTTTACCAAAGTTCTTTTAATACTGCATCCGCACATTCGTTATTTTCTAGTTCTTTGTTATTCTACATTACTATTGTTATTTCATATTATTTTATTTTATTCGTTTTCTTTAGGGAAGATGAGAAACAAAGTAACGATAACAGCTATAAAGCTGATTTGTATATAATATAACCAACATATACTTCTAATTTGCACGTAAATTGTCAATTATGTTGTATATCTAATGAAATCAATATCATGATTATTATTGTATTTACATCTCGTCGATTAAGAAAATACAATCAATATGTTTGAATTACGCAAGAAGTGCGATTTATTCGAAAGGTAAAATCTATCTGCGGACGAAAATGCCCGAATCGTGACGAGGAAGATCGCGAAACGATCTCCGTGTTCATCCGTGCGATCACGCGAAACCTCGATCCGCATTTAAACCCATCTAATTGCTTGGTAACGTGTCGCGCATTTGTTTAGCATTTCGTGGACGCTTCAAGCGTGGATTACGATCGCGGGAGCAAGATCGAAAAACGCGTAACGTTTTCCATAATACATCAGCTAGCTCTCCGAAACCGACCGAACGAACGCACGGTAGCAGCCACTGCCCTCGCTCGCCACAATGCGATCATTCATTAAGTCCCCGGCCGTTGCATGTTACTACACATGCATGGCTTACTGCAACTTGGAATTTAAGCGTCACGGCCGTGAACTTTACCGTAACGAAGGCGCGCGCGTATTGCCAAAGGTTGCCGATGAGCGAAAGTGCCCCGTCGGGCCGCGTTTTTCCGTTTCTCGCACGAAGCGGCGCGATGCAAATTTCTTTCACCGGCTTGATTCCGGCGGCGCGAAGCGCGTAACGTGGAATCTCCTCTCCGCAGACACCTAGAAAAGGGTCTCTTGCGATTGAATTAAATTTCTTTGGTCGAAACAAATTTTGAGATAGAGCGAACAAACGTATGTTTGATTCAACAAATAGGATTGTTTGGTTTCTCATGTGATAAATATCTGCGTAAATATTGAGCAGTGAGAGCCAGTACGCAGACGTTAATGCGCAAATCATGCGTGATAACCGAATATTATGTAAATATGAAAATGTTTACAATATCATACGTACGTTACGGGCTAAACAGAACACATCCGCGATAAATATCTTTACGTCAAGTAACATATTTCTTTTATATTTTCACCTAAATATTACCATGGTTGTCATAGATGATAAATTATTCGAAAGAAGTAACACTATGTTAGAGAATTGTTAAAGAACTTTTTTTGTTTCCGTCGAACAATATTTAATATAATACATCATCGTTATATTATAATGAAATAAATTTTTTTATTGCGTTATGAAATAAATTTTTTTTACAGCGTTGTTTTAATCAAACAACATGATTTACTCTAATGAAACAACAATACCTTCACTCGAACAGAACGATATTCGATATTAAATTATTCTATTTGCATTAAACAAACCCAAGTCAAGCAAACAAATACGTATATTAAATCGTATCATTAAAGAAATCCTTCTCCTTGTGTACGATGGAAATTTCGAGCAATCTGATTCTTGGCGTGGCAAATTACACGACGGCGAAATGTGACGTGCAACGCAGCAGTAATGATCAAAATAATAGCGGCCTAAAGAAATCGAATAAATATAACGCAATTTTTCGCCGAGCGTGAAGTTCCGCTCACTTTGTGATTGTGACAGAAGTCCAGGCCTCGTAATATTTGGAAAATATATTTCCTCGACTTTCCCCAGTCGAGGCCGCCGCCGGTCTGCTCCAATTCGTCGAGCACCGTGTGGTCGAGGTACTCGAACACGAGATAGAGCCGTTTCCTTCGGCGGAAAACCTCGATCATGCTCACCAGATTCTCGTGATGCAATTTCTGCGCAGAGAAATTCGGCCTCTGTACTGTTAAGCGAGATATCACGGCGACGCGTTTTCGCCGGAAGCGGTGGAAATCGCGGGGAAAAGCGTTCCTCTCGCGACCGGGCGGAAATTCGCCGGGCGATTCTCGCCTCGTCGTGAATTGAATGAACTGATCTCGCGCGGTGGACTATCAATTCGACAGGTACCTTCAGCATCCTTATCTCGCGAAACGCCAGTTTCCGCACCTGCAGATCCTCCTCCGTCTCCCAGAACTTCTTGATCGCCACCATTTGCCCGGTCTCCCGGTGCCTGCACTTCATCACGATGCCGTAACTCCCCTCGCCCACCACCTCGATATTCTCGTATTTCTCCATCTTCCCCATGCATCCAACGGCGGTGATAACTTCACCGATTCTCTCTCCGTGTGTTACCGCGACTTCTATTATCAATTCAGGTATGCGACGGTGGGTATCCGCGTCGTATAATCGGCTAGAGCGAACGTCACGGACGGGCATTTAATTGCGCTTTACCTTCGAAAGGATTCCACGGACCGATTCATTCGATCATTACGATTTGTCTAAACAGCCTTTCGCAGGCGGCCGCGCGTTAAGTGCGCGGAGTTTCGCAAGGAAACCTTAGCCAATTTTCAACGCGAACCCCACGCGAGAGCACGTCTCAGGACGACGTGTCACGAGGAAGATCATCATTCGGGACACGCACGCACAATTTTGGCTGTCCGATGAACGCGACCTGAACGAACGAGCACGAATTGAAACGGCCGCGACTCCGCCGACGCTGACTCGTTCGCCGACGAGGCTCGACTGCCACGAAGAGTCCTGTGCGCGGCCCTCATCGATGATTATCGATCTGCCGGTAATTAGTCAGGGGTGGTCCTCGCCCGACCAACGGCACACAGGTGAACCGGCCGAAAGGGAAATCGAATGTTAGAAGAGGAGGGGCGACGTAGGCAAAGACAGGTGCGACTCGTGTGCATCCTTGACAGCACATTGAAGAATACCGGCGAAATTTTATCGCTCGTCTCCGATTGTAAGCAATAATTAAGCGTCCTAAAGGGTTCTCCCAAATCAATCACCCTGACGGAAATACGTTCGTGAGAATCGTCTGCATTACTATATTGCGAGTATTGAGGATTTACACAACTGTTCCTCGAGTGGAGAGCTCGGAACGCGGCCACGAAACTGAAATCAAACGCTGAGCGATTAATTAATTAATTAACCAATTAATCAATTAATTCGTTAATGTGTAATTCCCGACTATACACAGGAAGAATAGTCTTAAATCAATGAAACAAGAAGATTATAATATTCTCGCTTACACATAGATATGTGAGAATATTTATCATTGATTTCAGACTAATCCTTTCCGTGTATTTTCGTTCGGACTGCCTTTGATTGGCCTGCTGTCTCGGAAAACAGGGCTGCTTAATAAATTTTCCGGGTCGTATATGAGAGTGCCAGCTCACTGATATAAGTAGGTACCAGGTTGATTCTGGCGCGACTTTCGACTTGTTCGACGCGACAATACGATTCTTTGTCGCCGCTCGGCCTGTCTATTTCTCGGCGTTATCGCTGCGTAACGGCTTGATTTCCCACAGAAGCGCTCAATGAGCGCACTGTATCGAGAGCAAGCGTGGTGCCGGTGACGACTTCGGGCGATCGCAATGCAACCTCATCTACCGTCGTTATGCCAAAAGCATTGACGATTTGTCGCGGCAACTAGGTGAGCGTAATCGATATATACGCGAATGGCAATCAGAGTTTATTTATAGACGAGTTCGGCGACTCTCCTGGATATCGTGACTGGAAAGCGCAGCCGATGCTCGCGTCAGATCACGTACTCGCGATTCCGATATTAAACCGTAAAAATACCGCATGTAAT